GTGCATGTTTCCATGACTCCTGTTTTCCATATCCCAGCTAAGCCATGTAAGTTGTTTGCCTTGCATGCAAAGGAGTTGTACAAGCACAGGGAGAGTGGAGATGAGGTCTGTGAATGGGAGAAGACCTGTTGTGCAAGGGCCAAAATTTGCACTAGAAAATTGTTTTTCTCCCCAAGCTTGTGTCAGTCACTATTCTGTTTGTCTCCCTTCAAGATTCCTCTCAAGTCCCAATTCTGCCGTGATGAGCAACTTTGAACAATTGAGACAACTTCGCCTCTGCTCTGCATGGGGCCTCTGGGACACTTTCAAGTCCATATGCGAACATTTTTCACACAGTGATGCAGTTCCTTCTTTGCTTGTGAACTCTTCACAGGTGTATATCTTCTCCATAAATAAATTCTTAATTCTTAAAGAGCCCAATTTATTCCAAAGGTTTCATTTTGTTATTGTCACAGTGCCTGGTACATATTAAGTTTTCAAAAAATACAAATTGGATTGAAACTGACACTGAATTCATTTGGGGTAGAAAGGAGAAAGGATAATAACCACCTTGAAAGGACAGGGTACAACAAGAGACAAGACAATGATTGGAGGAGTATCAGCTCCTAACATACAAAGGAATATATTCTAACATAAAAGGAATGCTTTCCCCCTCATCTAATAACAATGACTTTGCTTTATAAATATGCTTGAAAGGAGGAGAATACTGGCATTGTAATCATCAATTAAGTTGTCTTCTCAACTGGCTAAAAAGCCTGTTTTCCTGGAACCACCTTTCATTTATAAGCAATATCAGTGAAATAAAATACAGAATTTGTCATTTACAGTTAATTATACTCAGTTGTACTAAACCGTACAGTCCTGCTCAAATGGCAAGACTGAGGGTTAAGTCTTTCACTTCCTTTTAGTTAGTGGTCCACTTGTGTGGCCATCATGCTGTTTGGGCAACTTAAAAGAAAGGTATTCATGACTCAGCTCATGACACCATTCCCTGGGCAGAAGAGGAGGGACAACCCTAAGTATTGCCAGTGGCCAGACTGTGCGCTTGTCATGACGGAAGAAAATGTCTGTGGGGGAGGTGGGGAGAAGTGGTAGAAAGCTTGTTTTGTGTTGTCCGTTGATGAGTACCAATAGGCCTCTGATCACAAAGATCTCTCCAGCTGTTCTGCCACTAGCACCTGGCACTCCCCCATTAACATCACTATTTAATGTGGAAACCCCCATTAGGATCACCCTTCACGCTGTACAGGGGCACTGAAAGAATGGGAGCCCCAACTCATAGCTTTCTATAGGGGGAGCCGTTAGGAGTAGGAAGGGAAGTGGCTCAAAAGTGGATCCACATCTGTTCTTGAGAGCAGCATGAAGTATGCCTTTGGAGGCTGGCAAGATGAGGGGGGAAAGGCACTGGAGTGCTTGCTTCACCATCCTGCCAAGTGCTTGATTTCCTCTCCTTTTAGAGCATACCTTTCCCCTTCTGAGGTTCCCCTAGGCACTGGGTAAACAGCAGGAGAGCTCCTTCTCAGCCCTGGTGGCAGCAACGCCTGTTGGCTCTGGGTCACATTCCTTTCCAGACTTCACAGGCCGTGGGTTACAAAGGCCTTGTTGCACAATCCTTAGGGAAGTGGGCACAGGGGCTGGGCTGGGATGAAGGGGAGTGTCCTGCATGTGTCAGAGATCCTGGTGTGGCCAGATGCCAAGGCACCCCAGGTGGTGGCAGCAAGAGAGAGAATCAAATAACTCAGGATCTCTGGCAAGGCAGCTTTCTTTTACTTTTTTTTCTCCCAAGACTGTTAAATAAGACTCGTCAGGATGCATCTTCTTGGGTAATCTGACGGAAAACGTTTCAAAAGTTTGCTTGGCATGCCTGTTTTTCAGTTTACTGGAGAGATTTGAGAATTCAAAACCCATGATGAAGAATCTGAAACTAAAGCTCCTTTTATCCCTCCATTTTTCACAATCAGTTTTCTCCTGCAGTTTTATGCTGTAGCGTGTGCAAAATTACTCAATATATTACACAACTTTTGAAATTAATATGGAAGCTGAAAGATATTACCACAGCTGTGTTTAAACCCTACGCCATAATGGAATGTTTTTTCCTGTTGGTAACCATTTCATAATTCTCTTTTATTAAAGACAATCTATGTGGAAAACCAAAAACATATGGAAGATCCTTACAGGATATACACTTTTCAGTTGGTTAAAAAACAGTCTAGTGGCCTAGAAAATATTCACCAGACCTTTGGAGCTGATGATTATAAAAATGAGGTCTATACTTGAATTCAACAATTCTTCATTTCATTTCATTTTCTTTCAGATTTGGGGACTTTAAGCTGGTATTAATATATTTGCAATGAATTCAATCGGAAAAAGCTCTGAGTATCTGTATCCAGGGAGTGTCTGGGCTCAAACTTACAAATTGGAGATGCAAGACATATACAGCTCTACATAAAACAAACCCGGGACAAATCGAAGGCAGCTCCTAAATTGTCAAGATAATTCCAAACAAACTATTAATTCATGAGATAAGTCAGGAAATGCTTTTATAGGAGACATAGGTAATATGGATGGGTCAATTACCACAGGTGGTATAATAGCCTGATACCTGCCAGATAAAGTGTTTACTCACATGGACATTAATGGAGTACACATATACATATCACAGAGGATACACACACATACTCATCAACAAAGTGATCTACCTAAACTAGAAAAGGCAAGGCCGTAGGAAGTCTGTATATTTATTATAAAGCAAAATGCTTGTTAATTGTATAAATGTTTTTTTTTTAATGGACTACCTCTAATCAGGCCCCAAGGCAGAGTAGCCTGTCAATTTCCCTGGCTTTCTTTTCGTTATCATCTCAGCCTTTCGGACGGGGTCTTGAGTGCCTTTTCTTGACCTTGACCAAAGCTCCTTTGGAGCTGTGAAAGCTGTGAGATCTTTGGTAAATAGTGTCACCTACATAGAGCACATGAATTTACCAATAACCACACCAAGGTGAGAAAACGAGATTTCCTCATCTTAGAATATTCTAACTTGGAAGTTGAAATAGCTCAAATATGAACCAATTAAGTTCATTCAGCATAAATTAGGGGCAGGGAGAATTGGAGAGGCCACCAGGCTGAGAACGAGAGGACTTAAGCTTTAGTCCCCAGGCCAGCACTAACTAGCTCAATGACCCAAGCCAAGACACTTAACCTCTCTGTGCTGGTTTCCTCTTCTGGAAATGAGGACATTTGAATGGATGATCTCTTCGTTCCCCTCCAACTCTAAAATTCTGTGGTATGTGACTAACACAACGGTCAGAGAGCATTATAGTCAATAAATATAAATGCGGCAAGTTAGAACATTCTGTGTTTTGTGGATATTGTTTTAGGTTTAACTTACTTTTCAATGACTATAAAATGAATGAAGTCTATAAACTGGACCAATAAGGTTTTAATTTTCAAGGACTTAAGAGGCTAGATCATAATCTAATTGTGAAAATCACAGTGGCTTCCCTAGATGGAAGTTGAATATGTGCTAGAGTTAATGTGTAAGTACTTTTTATTTTTATCTGGACCTCTAGATTTATTTACATGCTTTGGGTTATTACTACTTTTATAGTGTGAGAGTATTGGCCTTACTGCTGAGATATATTTGTTTCTGATGTGTTGGAGGCCAAGGAGTGTTAAAATTGTGTTCTGTGGGGCCGGCCCCGTGGCTTGGTGGTTAAGTGCGCGCGCTGCGATGCTGGTGGCCCGGGTTCGGATCCCGGGTGCGCATCGAGGCACCACTTCTCCGTTCATCCTGAGGCCGAGTCCCGCATACAGCAACTAGAAGGATGTGCAGCTACGACATACAACTATCCACTGGGGCTTTGGGGGGAAAAAATAAAATAAATAAAATCTTTAAAATTGTGTTCTGTGGATAGAGATTGGGTCTCCCCTCCTATTGCTATTGGGGTCTCCTGTGGGTAACTAATCTACCTGTCAGAACATTGGACTGCTGCTTCCACTGAGGGAACGCAGCAAAACACTTGGATCTTGCAGGCGAATCTCAGCGTGCCTGCCAGAGCAGTCCTGTACTGGGCTCTGGGGTCGCAGTGTGCTGAGACCCGGAGGGAGGCCAATGGAGATGAGTCAGGGCCTGGCACCCACCCCACACTCCGCCCTACTGGTAAACAGAACAGCTATTTGCCGTCACTCGGAGCCTCTCAGGGCCCCAAGACTCCAGGAAGAAACAAATACTTTAGAAGCCAAAACCCCAAGGCAAGGTAAAGAAAACAGAACTGTCCTCATCCCCAACGATGATTCCACTGGCATGAGTTCCTTAGAGGGGGAGGAGCTATAGCTGGTTCCAGCTGAACTGTTTTACTTGCTTCCCAACCATAAGGCCCTTCTCTTTCACTGTTTATAGGGGGTGGCCTTTTGCATTTTAAGCCTTGAAATTTCAAAAGTAGACTTTAGAATCAATTTCAGTTGCTAACCCATAAGAAATTTTTTTCTCCTCCTTTTATTACTTTTGTTTGTATCTTTTTGTACTATCTTCTATTAAAATACTTGTTGCAGTTAACTTATTTTTTGCTTAGTTTTTCTTCCCTGTCATTCTGGGGAGAGGCTCTTAAAAGAAGAACACCTAGATAAAAGAATAAACATCAGCAGGCAACAAATGTAGACTACTTTAGAAAGTAATTTTACACTAACCTCTTGAAGTACCTGTGCCTTTTGCATTTTCCCAGTCATTGGGGAGAGGGCAGTGAGGGGCTGACAGTCTTGGAAATGTCCTTGTGGTCTGGCTTCATAACAATAAGTCTGGCTGTTGGGAGGACGCACCCCAGCTCTGTTTCTGGTGGACCGCCTTTGGCCTTTCGTCTGCGCGTTTGGAATCTTTGCGTTACCCTAGAGTATCTGTGCTTATACTGTTATTCCTAAGCCTGGAGACACACTCATCCTGTGGTCCTCTCCTCCTGTTCCTTCAGACTCCAGCAATTTCTGTTCTGAGCTTAGCAAATGTCACGTACCTGAACCGGAGGCATGGCTGGCTGATTCCTTCTAGCTCCGTCAGGTGGCGTCTCGCCTCTAATATATCAATAGCTGAACCTCCTGAACCTTCTCAGTAGCCAAGGCTGAGCCTGGGCTGGATATTGTGATGTCACAGAGTGGAATCATTGCTCTGCCCAAAGGCCCAGCTGAGACCCTCTGGCTGTAGCACTTCCTCTCCTGCCGACGGTGAGGGGTCAACCTCCTAATTTCTAAACTGACCCACAGAATTGTAGAATATTATTGCAGGCAGAAACCTTGGAGACCTAGGGACTAGATTCTAGTCAAACTCCCTTATTTTGCAGGTGAGGAAATTGAGGCCCTGGTGGTTAAGTGGCAGAGCTAAATCAGGTGCCCTCAGTCTTAACCCCCCTACCCTTCTAGAACACACTGTACTCATGCCAGGCTCTTCTTTCTGGATTTTGTCAACATCATCATTTTCTGGTAGGCTGCTCTTTGGACAATTTTTACCTGAACCCACCCACAACAAGAGACAATTTGGATAATCTGCATTATAGGAAGAGAACAGAGTCTCAGTGAAGATCATTAGTTTTTCCAACAATCTATAGGTGCCAGCAAATAGCTAACTCTGGTCCCAGCCCAAACTCAGAAATCCTGAGCTATCAGATCAATTCTAAATTAACAAATAATATGATTTCTGAGTAAACGACATTTTCAGTGAGATTTGACAATAAGGAGAAAAGCTCAAAAGCCTGGGATTAGTGTTGACTGCAACGTCATATGAGGTTCCAGTGTTTGTTGAGGAGGGAATGAGAAGGAATAATCAGTAAAGAAATAGATTCTCACTGGAATTTAGTTCTTTCCTCCTTCATACCCTTCACTTTCTCTAGACACTGTCCCCATGTGATATTAAAGAATTATCTGCATTTCATGAGACGATTTGTATCTGGGAAGCCAGAGAATCATGCTTTCAGAAACCCTCAAGAGAGGAACATATATTGCACTTTTATGATACCAACAACTAACATTTTATATCATGCTTTAGCATTTACAAGCCATTTTCACATATATCACTTCATTCAATCTTCACAGCTCAGTGAAGTAAACAGTGTAGAAAATTATAGCTTAGAGAGGTTGTGACTTGCACAAGATCACAAAGCTAATTAAGTGGAAACGGTAACAACTACAAACCAGATCTTCCAACCAAGCATTTTGCCCAGCACAGGACTTCCCCAGGGTGGGAGGAATTGTCATTTGGTCCCAGAACACGCTTGAAGGCAAATGCATTAAGAAACCCTTTGAGTAACAAAGAAGAAATTATTTGCAAGTGTCATAAATACTGCTTTACTAACCTCCTAAATGTCTTCATAAAAACTTAGAGAAATGGTTAATGAACACTAATTTCAAACTTTAAAATAATGTAACCATTGCCCTTCCAGCAGACAATTCCACATCTGTGAATTTTCCTAAGGGAATCATCATGGCTATGAACAATATTTAGCTACAAGAGGTTCTTTGAAGCATTGTTTATAATAGAAAACAAATTAAAAGCTCAACATCAGAAAAGAGGTAAAATGAATTATGCTTAACTCATGAAAATAATGTTGTAGGTGAGGATTTCCCAAACTTCAATCATTTATGTGCCATCTTTGGAATATTGCCATCTGCACAAATATCTACTTAACTTCCTTTAAATTAATTCACACATTTTACTGAAATAAGAGTATTCAAAGGTAATTTTTTATCACTGCATAAGTGAAAATACAGTATAATTATCTTGTGTCAGATAACCATAAAAACAAATAGAAAGAAAACAGAGTAATGACATTAATGCATTGATTTAGTCCTGATATCTAGCAAAGAACATGGTTGATTTAGTCAAATCACAATTAATACTCTTTATTTCTGTCACAAACTTCACCTTTCTGCATTAAAAATCTCTTTTTTCATTGACTAATGTACAACAGGCTCTATAAGGAAAAGAAATGAAGTGCGTGCTTGATTCCAAATCGCAGTTATGTATATTTATACATACCTTGCGTACTAAATAATTGTCAGCTTCCAAAAATGATCCTTTGATGTACCTCAGAAAAGAGCATAGAGGGCCCGGCCTGGTGGTGTAGCCGTTAAGTTCGTGCGCTCCGCTTCGGTGGCCCAGGGTTCACTGGTTCAGATCCTAGGCACAGACCTACTCACCGCTCATCAAGCCATGCTGAGGTGGCATCCCACTTGAGCAACTAGAAGGATGTACAACTATGACATACAACTATCTACTGAGACTTTGGGGAGAAAAAAGAAAAAGAGGAATATTGGCAACAGGTTTAGCGCAGAGCCAATCTTCCTCAAAAAGAAAACAGCATAGCTGTCGCATAGACAGTCAGTGTATGAGAATCCACACTAGCCCTCTGAGCGATTTTCACTAATGGTTCTCAGGAACTGTGCTACTCCCTAGGAATCATTTTAGAAATTTGTGGGTGTTTTTGGTTGTTGCAATAACTAGGGATGGGAAGTACCACTGGCTTTTTTGGGCAGGGGCCAAAAATGTTAGACAGCCTGCAGTGCCAGACATGGTCCTATATGACCAGGAATTGACCGGTAATTCCAAGTAACTTTATATGTCTTACAGAAAATCCAAGTCGGTGAAAAACCTACTGAGCCAGACACAAATATATTCATAATTCATAATTACCCAAGCCAAACCTAAATCCATTTAACATCTAAATGCAAAATTTTTGCACAGCTTTAATATATGTCGATTTTTCCAGAAATACAGCTGCTTTGTACATCAGGGAAAACCATATTTTATTTTATTTGGAAACTTACTAAAAGTTGTTCATAATTTTGGAAAATCAACATCACCAATGGCCATGCTGCTGGTGGTATCTGAGTCACCATGAAACTCACCTGTATCTGCCTGTACTTGCAGCTTCACATTCTCGACAAAACTCCTGTTATGTCCTCCATGGTAGTCAAGCCCAAGCACTTAACTTATTGAAATGTATATTCTTTTAAACGCGTTGTTTTCTTTTGTTTCTCCTTTTTATCTAGGATAGGGCATTATATTGATTTTTATTAAATTATGTACATAGGTAGGCTATCTATGACTATCAGTTAGGGATTGGACAAGGGGAGTTAAAACTTTGTCATTAAAAGGGAACACTGGATCTGAGAGGGTTGAGCACCGCTCATCAATTCCAAGAATTATCAATGTTATCTGAGACATTCACGGGCACAACTGAGGATCCCACTGTAATCCATGCATTCTTCATAACGTTGATTATTACAGTGCTACCTTCTTCAGCCTTGTTACAAGCAACAGTATCCGAAAAATTACAAGCTTAATGTACTAGTTATATTTTTTCAATTACTCACAAACAAAAAAACACAGCTGTTAGAAATGTTTAAATTGTGTTCATATAACACCAAAAAATCATCTCACGCATCAACTGTGGCACATATTACATAGCATACTTTAGGAAATACAACATTTTCCATTTTAATGATACAGAAGAATGCCCACAAGGTATTAGTGAGCAAAAAAGATAAGTTGCAAGAAAATCGGTACCATTTTTAATAAATACACATATCGGGAAAAATTTGAAAGATCTACACCAAAATAAGTGTTTACATCAGAATGGGAGACTATATGTGATTCACTTTTGCTTGTCTACTTTTCTAAATGTTTTAGAATGGCCATGTTTTGTTCTTAAATTAAGAAAAAAAGGCTATTTGAAATATATATATACTTAGGAGACAAAATTGGAAAGAGGCATGGGACATTTATATTCATACGTATATCTCTGTAGTGTTTGACTTCTTGAACAAGCATTACTACTTTTGCTATTAAAAAGTCTAATAAAGTAGAAAATTAAACACAAAAATGTTGAAAGGAATATACTTGTAAATATAGTGAATGAGTATCAATTCTTTCTCAGTGGAACCAGAAATATTATAACAGTAGATTTTTATATCATAACTAGCTAAACAGCATAGTGTCAGACCAGTGTACAGCGTGCAGTTCTCTTTTCATTTATTTGGTATCCAAAAATATTCATTATCGTATTCCTTCTACCACACAAAGTGCAAAGACTTATAAAGCAAGCAGAGATTCATTAGAAGAAGCATAAAATGAACCAACAATTTCCTTACTTTCATTAGTGTTTTTAGTAGTATCAGTGGATTAAATAAATAATTCCCAAAATTTCCTTTAAATGTCACCTTGCTTAGAACAGAGTATTCTCATGGTAGAATACACAGGGATCATGGTTCCTTTTCCCAACGTGGTCTTCCTCCAGCTATCATCTCAGGAAAAAGAAAAATGGATCCTCACTTGTGTTTTATCTTGCCGAGCATGTACTTAACACTTTACATTCTGTGGATGTGTGGATTACATCACTTCTCCTTTAGTGTAGGCTTCTGTAATGAAACACATGCCACACCTGTGGAAGAGGTGGGCAGAGCCTCACAGCTGGAGCCCATAGAATTTTCAGGTCCCGCTGGCAGTGGGATGAGGGAGGCCTGCGGTGAGGGAATATCTCCATACGCAGGCATTCTTCAGGCTAGATGAAACTCACAGACATTTAGAAGTCAGAGCTCAAAAGTTTTTGCTCAGTTGTGGTGAGGAATTTTCTGGGAAAAAATATTAATCTTGTCAAGACTTAAATTCCACTTCAAGCCAGAATTTCTCATTGTGGTCTACAGACCACTATACCAGAACCACCTACTTTATTAAAAAAAAAAAAAAATTAACGCAGATTCCCACACAACTCCTGGATTTACTGCCAGTGAATCTCAGGGACAGAGTTAGGGACCCATGTGGAGGCAAACCCTGCAGGGGATTCTGCTACACAGAAATGTTTGAGAACAACTGCTGTAGGCTAGAGGTTCCCCAAATTTAGAGAACGCCAGAGTGTCTGGAAGGCTTGTTAAAACACAGATTGCTGGCCCCAGCCTCAAGTTTCTGGCTCTGGAAGCCTTGGGGGAGGGCAAAAACTAGATTTTTCACAAGTTTCCAGATGATGATGAGGCTGAGGGTTGGGACCATACTTCGAGAACCACTGCGCTCAGCCTAAGAAACTAGGGAGATTCTAAAGGCATTTCCAAAG